ATAAATAAATAAAAATAAAAATAGAAACATTTGTATAGAAACATTTGTGTGACGTCGGCTTTGCAGCTTGTCTCTCTCTAACTCTCTCCCTCTCTCTCACACAATTTTAGCAGCATTTGTGTCGCTGCTACGCACACAAGCAATGGTACTGATCACTGATAAATACATACATTTATACATTTCCAACACCGTCTTCTTATGCTTACATTGTTTGTCATTATTTCGCATTTATTTATTAAATTGTTGTGATAAGCGGAGACTTACTAAGCGGAGGATCTTTCATATTCGTTTCGTCGACACAACCGTTTGGATGCTTTAAGCGGAGTCGTTATAACCGAATACTACTGTGTATGTATGAATACAGTAGAGTCTGGCTATAGCGAAAGTTCTGGTCCCCAGACAAACTTATATTAGCGTCTGCCGGGTCTTACGGCCGTCTCTGGTCGCATCGCTCTAACCGGATTTCGCTAGATTTATGAAAGACATAGCTAAAAAAATGCTGAACATCTTAGACAGACGAAGTATAAACTTGGTAGCTTAAGTTTGATTTTTAAACTGAGTTTTATTTACCTTTCATTTTCACATTTTTGTATTTTATTACTTTTTAAGCACGTTAGAATCTATTCATTTTGGTTTGATGTGATGGACGGTCAAGAAAAACTCCAAGCCGCCTGAATGAGGCATGCCGATATTTTGGCTCATCACGACTTCAAATCTGCAGCCAGAACACATTCCCCGATTACTATCGGTTAGTTCTATTATAATAATAGAAGTTAGTAATAAAATAAAATAAAATTATAAAATAAAATTACAATTTCAGCAGCTATTCAATCGATTATTAACCACTGTGCAACTGGTCGTGGCGCTCGCTGCTCGTTGGCATCCTCTTGCTGCTGCTGCGGCTGCTTGTTGCATCGTTTTTTGGCTCATATGTTGCAACCTTTCGCTTAAGCAAATTGCCAGCGTATGTCTGTGTGTGTGTGTGTGTGTGTGTGTGGCTTGATGAGTTTGCGTTTGCGTTTGCGTTTGCTGGCTCTGCGGCATTGCCTTGTACTTGCGGCCAGCAAAAGGCGCTGAGTTATTGTGCTCGTGCAATGGAAGCAGCGACAGCAGCGTTTTCCCAAAATGCCAAAGTGAACCTGGAGGTGTTTTCATGCCAAGCCAAATGCTCTTTCGCTCCTCTCACCTTCTCTCTTTCTCACCCTCTCTGTCGCTCTCTCTCTCTCTCGCTGCTGCATTTCACTTAAAATGCTTTTAACCAAAACATTAAGCAGCTGGTGTCACATTACATCACAATGCAGACCAGACGTTAGCTGCTACAAGCCGCAGCAACAGGAGCAGTGGCTGCCACACGAACCACTTGAACCCCTCAGTTGCAGCACCCGCCCACAAATTAATAGCTTAAATAAGCTGCGAGGCTGGCTAAGAAACCAGATAAAGTTATGAAAATGTAAACGAGCTAAATGCATAAACTAGAATTAGAATATATCTAAGCTGAGCATGTATGTACATATATAGCATATAGAATATATATGTATGCACGTATCTAAAGGTAAATATGATTCGCTCGTAGTTTGAGCTCAACTTTCAGTTCTTCAATTTAATACAAAACAGTTAAGAATTAGTGTCTGCCACGTCTCCTGCTGCCTGTTGCATATATTTGCCCCCAATCCATATACCCTCACTATCCATTCCAGCAGGCTTCACTTAAATCATATCATATAATTTGCATATGTTAAGCTTCTATATTGAATCAGAGACCTTTGATAGGGTTTCAAATTGCTTTACATCATTAATTAAATAATTTATGAAAACAAAATTATAAAGCTGTGTGTGCTCCCTAATTGTTCATTCATTAAATTTGTTGCATTATTTAACTGCATTTATTCAAAGCAAATCAGTTCGCTTCGATGTTATTGGGTTTCAATTACATTGCATTTGCTGTTGAGTTGTGCGATTGCAGTTTGACTAATTAGTGGCAGCACAAATTGTGAACAAAAAGGATCAAATGTAATTTTTATATATGTGTGTATATACTTATATATACCATATACGTATATATTTAACTGACAGCCAATGCTCGTTATTTACCTGGCATGAAGAACAGCAAAAATGCATTTGATGTTTAGCCAAGGAAAAAAGGAAACAAAAACGAAGGAAAATTGAAAATAAATTACATGGCAAAATGTGAAAAGGCCATGGGCAAAGCTTTTGTCAGCTTATTAGCTGAAAATGCCGGGCTGGGCTGCACTGGCCAAGTCAGCCAGGTTCCGGCCGGATCGGGCTACTTGATTCGTGGCCCGGCTCCTTGTGCAGCTTAGTGCTCAAACGGGCTATGGCTGCACCTTTCAAACGTAAACGTCAATGCCATAGCCAGGTAAACACACACACACACACACACACACAGGCATGCACACGCATGCAAGCATGGCTAAAGCGCAGTCAATCAAGTCGTTTATGGTCTTTGCAGCTAATACAAATGGCTGAGCATTATATATGCACCCAGGCGCACGCCCACACACACACACACACACACAACCTACCTCTTCAGCAATTGATTGCTTGTTTATTCAAATTAAATTTTGCATAATAAACTAATCGCAGAACTAAGTCAAATTTGGCTCTGCTCCACGCTGCAGAGAATCCTGGCATTGGCCTGCTTAATAATGGATGGAGACCTAACCGAGAATTGCCCAAAGATGCATTTAAAGCCGACACACAAAAGAGCAGCCACAGCTCCGGCTGAAATAGTTGGATTCACTCACAACGCACCGAGCACACGACTCTGACTATGCGTGGCGGCGGCCTCTTTGGCAGTGTGCCGGCCAGTCCATAAATCACTTTAATGCCCGCACTCCAGGCAGCCGGGTCAGGCACTGGCACCACCCGGCATCCAGCTAGGGCCGTAGGTGGAATTTCTTGTTGGGACGCTGCCAGAAGCCAGGCCGGAGCAGAGCTGGGCGCTATTCAAAATTCAAATCGAAAGGTCTGCTCTGATTTGCAGTTCACTTGGAGCGAGTGATTGATATCTTTTGAATATACTCGCAGCAGTCTTAAGACACATACACATACATGAATCTGGGCTGAAAAGAAGTTGATGAGGAGAGTATCCTTGGAGTATACGCTCATCAGCATCTACCTAATATCATCTAGGCGGAAATCTAGTCAAAGTGAGATATGGTCATCTTAATGAGTTGCAGCAGCAGCATCCAGCATCCATCCATTCACTCGCTAAACTGCTCGAATATTGAACGTAAATAACGTAAAAGAGTTAATAGCCGTAATTTAAGTACGGACAGATTTCGTACGGAGCATGCACAGCATGGACTCATCTTTGGGTCAACTCTCGGCCGATTAAATGTGAGGCCAGCCAGCAGTGTGTTGTTGTTCTGGTTGTCCAACTGCAGCTGAATCGTCAGCATGATTAATTGATGAAAATCCCTTTTGCCATGCAGGATAATAAATTACAATACACAGACCAGCACGGGCGGACAAACGAGCGAACGAGCAAACGCACGGACAGGTAGCATGTGCTTCAAATAGCTAACAGACAGACAGCCCACACACACACACACACACACACACACACACACATATATATATATAGCGAGAGCAGCG